CACATGGGACAATTATAATCAAAATTCTGGTGAAGTGCTGGCCGGTTAGCTCACGTGGTTAGAGCGTGGTGTTATATGTAACACCAAGGTCAAGTGTTTGATCCCCTTACCGGCCAGCCACAAAAGAAACAAACAAAACCCACAAAATTCTTGTGAACAGGATAGGCAGAACAGAATACTCCCTCCCAGAAGGTTCTTAGGTAGATTCAGTCTAGTTCCCATTAGTGAGGAGGGGAGGAGGACGGGGTGGGGTGGGGTAGGGAACAGGGGGTTGCTGACATTTAGAGAACTTTCTATGTCCAACAACATGCTGTGATTTTGGCAGGAGTTAATCTTCCAAACAACCTTATAAGGCAGGTATCATGTTTCTTATTTAATTTTCACAAAGAATGAAACTAAGATTTGGTGAAGTACATACAGTATCCTACCCAAATGCAAATGTGTACTTTCTAGAGCCAGGTTTCAAGTCGTATTTCATGTTTAGGTTTGTTTCTCTTAATACATATGGTCTCCTTTTGTTCAACATCCAGGAAAGGGGCCACAAGGAAAAATCATGCCTGACCAACCTTAAAAAAAGGGTGGAGGGAGGGAGAAGGAAAGGGAGAGAGAGAGAGATACTTCAGTGCACAGTTTTTGTTGACAAAGTGAAACAATCTTTGGGAAGGGAAGCACTGACGATGATCTATTCAGCTGTACCAAGCAGGTTGAATAGACAGCACAACTCGTGTCAACGTTTCTCTGCATTTCTGGGAGCAGGGAGGGACCCATAGCTACAGCTCAAAAAGGCACTGAACATTTGGACAGGAAAACAGCAAAAACTGGGATGGGAGAACTCTTCAGTATGTACTCATTGACAAGAAAGCACAGGGACCCATAGCTACAGCTCAAAAAGGCACTGAACATTTGGACGGGAAAACAGCAAAAACTGGGATGGGAGAACTCTTCAGTATGTACTCATTGACAAGAAAGCACAACAAAATTAGAAGTATCGTGTCGAAATCACAGGGAGGGAGAATCTGAAAAGTTGCTTATGCTTTGATAACGGTAAATAAGAATTCATTACATGGTACACATTAAGTCAAAATGTCAATAGTATTCTCTGTATTTAAGGTGCTGCTTGTTGTGAGTCTATCAGATCCAGCTTAAATCTCAAATGAATTTGAGGTAGAATTCCATCAGAACATGGATGTAATTGTATCTGAAACAAAGCAGACTACAGACAGAATTAAAGAGGGCAGGAAGAAGAAAATTTGTATTGCAAAAAACCCAGAGCTGGTAGAGCTGGTTCACAGCTCTGCCTCATAGTAGTTGAGAAAAAGAGGAAACTATGTTAAAGGCCAAGCACTTTTATGAAGTCAATGTCTTCTCTCCTTAGATTCTGAGCTCAGTAATGTTTACTGTACACAGTTTGGAGTAGACATCATGTGTTTGGCATGTATACCATAACATTTTTAGCATCACAGGGATATATATCATGTGCAAACAGGCATAACATTCTGTTCTTTCAAAGGAGCCCAAAATTTAGAGGATGTTGGAACTGGACTTAAGTAATTCAAGTGCAAGTGAATGTTGTAGGGTGGGGAGAAGTGGACTGGCTGGACGCCTGAGTGTTGCAAAAAAAGGTCACTGCATCCAATCTCCCAGTGCAGGTAGTGTCTACACCATTCTTTATCTGAATGGCAACTGTCAGCTTCTCAGAGCCCTTGCAAGACACCAGTGTCTCAGATCTAGAAAGCTCATTCCTAGCTCTCTTGTAAAGGAGCGAGGGGCACTGGCGTATGATTGAGGCCTGAAGTGTTGTGTGCTGCATTTCAGCATCAGGGGAAGGCACCGAATATGGTGGTATAGAGGCTCAAACCAGCCCTTAGGTTTGCTGATGCAGAAATCCAGCACACTGCACTGCAGGCCCCATTCACGCAACTGTTCATACCCCTTCACCCAGGAATCTACCATTAGACAATAGTCTGGGAAAAGAAAAACATTCTGTGCATGCAGATCTTTACTGCATTGTTATTACCATGGAAAACATTGCAACTTCCTCAGCCGATGAAAATGATAATAATGAAGCCTATCTAGCCACAAGGAAAAATGTTCAGGAGAATAATGTAGAGAAAGATTGAAAAATTGCATCTACTTGTCTGTAAAGTTTACAAAGATGGGAAAATCATGTGCATACAAATGGAATGAAAAAAAAAGCATGAAAATGTGAAGACTGTAGGTTGGTGGGATTATGGTCCAATATTTTCCCCTTAAAATTCCTTTTTAGAAAACTGTTGTAACGTATGCCTTCAACATACATCCTCAAAAAAGGAGAAAGAAAAGAAAATATAGTGTACTTACAAGTTCTTCAAATGCTGTTTTCCAAATAGAGGACAGCTTTAGTGTTTTCAGACACTATGTATAATTAGTGGGTTGGCAAGTTTATTTTAAAACTATGAAATCTTACTCGCCTTTCAGCCATCTCATCCCCACACCGCTTCCCACACACATATCTGCCCCCCCCCCCCCCCCCCCCCCCCCCCCCCCCCCCCCCCCCCCCCC